ATCTTCTTATCTCTTTGTTTATAGGTTAGAGTGCCTCAAGGGGGGCGAGGGCTCCTACGCTTTTTTTTGCCAGTTGGGTATCTCTGTCGAGCCCGTACTCGCTGTGGCTGCAAGTGAGCCTGCTCAGACCGCTGCTGTTTCGCAGACTACAGCTTTGCGCGGGCTTGGCCGCTCAGATGCTGCTCCCCTGGCGGGGATTTCGACCCCCGGAGTTCATTTGGTGGATGAATCGTCAGAGGGCGAAAACGAGGAGGCTCCTTTAAAGAGGCGGAGGACAGTGGCTGACGGAGTGACTAGGACCGAGGGGCCTTCGAGGGGTGAACCTGTGTTGGCGGTGTCCGAACCGGGCGATGGCACTAGTTTGGGCATGGAAATCGCGCCTCCTCCGGTCGTGGAGATGGCTCCCTTGGAAGGGGGACAGAGTTTGGAGGCCGCTGCGGTCATTCCGAGTGGTCCATCGACTTCACCACAGGCCCGTGCTCTCTCTTCGTCCAGCGAGAGGGCAAAGGGCGTAGTTGTAGATGACTACGAATCCGGTTCAGATATTGACCCCGAGGACATAAGCATGTTTGAGGTGGGGTTTACTCGGGTGGAGGCAGGAACGAATGATTCTTCCCGTGTGATCGAGATTGCTCCGGAGTGCTCTTTATTGGAGGACACTAGTGCCCCAATTTGCCCTTCTTTGTTCTGCTACTGAAAGCAGGGCCCTTCAGGAGATCAGCGATGCTGATCTATCACGGGACGTAGCCGGTATGTCTTTGAGGGTGATTCTATTGCTTTCTTCGTTTTACGTCTTCCACTCTTGCTAATTTTTTCCTCTTGTTCTCTTTTCTTTTTTTAGACTTTCATTTTGGAGACTGAGAGTATCCGCCGTGAGGAGAGGCGGGCTGCCATTTTTCAGAAAATGGTTTCAAAATACCACCGATACCGTGACAAGTGCCGCGAGATGCATGCACGACTAGGGCGGGCGGTAATCCTCACTCCCTTAGGGAATAGTTGGAGTGAAAGGACGAGGACCTGATGCGGTTTATGGGCAGATGCAGCTAACTCGAGGGGCTGCTTAGGGTTAAAGAAGGAGAGCTCGAGGTGGGCAAGGGAGTTGCAGCTGAGTGTGTTGATCTTCAGGCGAAGGTGGTGGCCCTGCGGGCGGAGCTTAAGCAGAGTGACACTAGGGTCGCCGGTCTAAGTGTCGAATTGGCGGAGAAGGCGATCAAAATGGAAGGGAAGGCGATCGAGCTGGAGATGGCTAAGGGGGCCAGAGTAGCGGCCTTGGCGAGGGCTGCGGAACTGGAAGATTCTATCCGCGTTCTGAGGTCTGAACGCGCAACTGAGATAGAAAAGGCCTCTCTGAAGGAGGCGCGGATTGGGGAGCTTGAGAGAGACGTCTCGAGCCTGGGTGATCAAATTACTGCTCTCGAGGCTAAGAGGGCACAATTGTTGGCTTCGTCTCCTCCTGCGCCCGCCTGTGTTGACGTTCCTCGCCCTTTGTACAAGATGTGGGTCCATGCTGAGGCTCAGCGAGATATATATAAGGGCTTGTTGGCAGCGGGGAACGTTCCTGAAGTCGCTTTCGAGGAAGCTCGTGTTAAAGCGCGTGAGGCCCGGCTTGCCTGCGGTTATGATCCCGCGACACCGGAGGCAGGTGGAGTTGATGAGGCCGAGGACGGGATTACCTTTGACGATGAACATTCCGATGGAGAGGGTGATGGTGGAGGTGGAGCCGCTGAACCGAGCGGGGAGAGAGATGACGGCGTGGATGAGGATAATTCCAAGTGAAGTTTTTGTACTTAATTTTTCTTCCTATATTTTTTTTTATACTTGATTGGTTGGGTGGGGGGGGACCTTTTGGCCCTTTGTAACACGCTATTTTTTCTTTGAATGAAATAGTCAATTCATCCTTGATTGTATGCCTTTGTCCTTTCCTTCTCTTTTTATTTCGAATTTCTTGGATCTTCTCGCGATAAGTCCCTGACTTTTGGTAGTTAACCCGAGCGAGGTCGAATTTGACCTGCTGATTCGGGCGAGGTTGAGCTTGACTTATTAGCTCGAGCGAGGTCAGATTTGACCTGCTAATTTGAGTGAGGTCGAATTTGACTTGCTAATTCGAGCGAGGTCGAATTTAATTTGTTAATTCGAGCGAGGTCAGATTTAACCTGCTAATTCGAGCGAGGTCGAATTTAATTTGTTAATTCGAGCGAGGTCAGATTTGACCTGCTTTGACTTGCTAATTCGAGCGAGGTCGAATTTAATTCTTAATGAATTCGAGCAAGGTCGAATGTATGTTAATCCGAGCGAGGTCAAATGTAGATTGATTCGAGCAAGGTTAAATGTAAGTCGATTCGAGCGAGGTCGAATGTAGACTTAGAAAATAATTCAATGCGGATCGAATGTATATTTCCTTTGCGTTGGCGTGATTGTGTACATTTGGCGTTGTGTAAGAATGTCATACTGCTTTGTTTATTCATTGGAGAATATTACATGTTTCCGTTCGATCCGTACGTACATTCGAGGAGTCCCAGTCTGTCTAGTCCCTTCATCGCTCGGCCTAGAGAAGTAGTCAATAGGCGGGCCGATGAATATCTTGCTCAAGATTCCGGACGTCTTAATGTATGGACGAGATCAAATTTTAGCTAGTTGTATCGTCGCATAGTTGCTTTGGCGAGCGCGTGGGTGAGTTTCACGCACTTGTGTTCTGTCTGCATGCTGGAGAGATTCGTATGTTTTTCGGGCTGGTGACCCAGTCCCAGTCTATACAGGCTTTTCCAGTTATGGTGTTAATCACCAACTTGTTGGAGAGATTCGTATATTTTTCGGGCTGGTGACCCAGTCCCAGTCTATACAGGTTTTTTCCCTTTATGGCGTTAAGTACCAACTCGTTGGGGGGGGGGGGGGGTTTACTCGATCGTTGCTTGCAAGACGATATGGTGCGGAACGTTTTCCTGGTGTGTTGTTTTGATGGCATTTGTTCCTTGTTCGTGCATCTAGGAGAATGTTCCTGTTCCTATCCCAATCTACAAGAAAAATAACAAGTTAAACCCAAACTAAATCGTTTGTTACCTTGACCTGATTGGTTGGCGAGGGGAGAGGGGCGCTATAGAACGACTCGTTTTGCCCCGTACTCGAATGTTGGCTTCAGATTTGATCTCAGCCTCGTGCTTAGCTTCACCGTTAGTCGAGTCTGGGCATCTTATGGGCTGACAACTTACTTTACCCGTTGGGATCTTGAGTTCGAGTCCCGGTCCGATCCAGTCCCAAGTGCACAAAAATAAGGGAAACATAAGTTATACTCCGTACATACGGGCAGGACAAGCTTGTTATTTCAAAGAATTACACAATAGGCTATCGCCCTTTCCTAAGAGAGAGGGGGCAATGTGCATAAAATATAGATTGGTATCTAACGTTAATATAGCAAATAGGGTTGCGTACGTGCTCAGTGCGTAGTGACCATAATCCTACTTTGACAACTCATACTCACGACGTACCAAACCCATCACTACAGCAAGACGTGGCTTTCGTATAGATATCAAACATAATTTCGATTTCATGCAAAGATCTGACCTTGGTTGGTTCGGTTATTTCAAAAGCTTGCCTACAAATTTCTCAAGTTGGTGTTTGTAATGAGAGGACGAGGCTACGACAACCGGGAAGTGGAACTCTGACTGACTTTAGATCTAGAGGAAACTAAAATTTTGGCTAGAAATTTCCCTAAAGACGGCGCCAAATTGTTTGACTAAAAAGTATTAGGCCTTTTTTGTTAAACTAATTAAATAAGAAGATTTGGGGCAAATCCTAGCCAGAGATAATTTATTCTAGATCCGAGGTAGAAGATAGGAATAAACAAGCATGACTGAACATAAAATTTGATTACAGTTGCGACTGAATATCATAATGTAAGAAATGGATGATTTACTCCAATAATATCAAATGATAATGAAGAATACATAAACGAAAAGAGTCACCGTTCTTGAACAAGACCGACTTCCATTCATTTGATGAAGTTGAACTACAGATGGATACTGAGATTCTAAGCTCTTATCTCCTTTTTCGGCGAGGAGCCTGAGATTTAAGGAATATCTTCACTTTTAGAGAGATGTATCTGTCCCTTTTTTCTTTGTGTGTTCCTCCCAGCCCCCCTTTATGTCACACTCTCTCATGATATTTATACCAAACACTTCCCTTACCCAACGGTCCCTAACCGGAGTACCTAAGTTCTTGGAACATCCCGTACAATATTCCTCTAAAATGTCTAAGTGTTGAGCTAGCCGTTCAGGCCGAATCGAGTGTTCGACCTCGACCGTGACTAAATCACTCGCCGGTATATTGCTTCCTATACGTGACCTCAGCTTGGTTGACTCTTGATCGTTCTTCCTTAAGCAGAATTCTTTTGTTCAAATTTTGACATATACAACTACATGTCCGTATGATAGACTGACAATATTGTCCTATCATTTGAATTGCCTCGGACTACACTACACTCATCTCACATCATCTTCTGTTGGCAGGGAATTAAGGATGGACCTGCAGCACGTAGGAGCCCATTTCTTGAGACTAAGCGTTTCACCGTTGTTTAGAATCTCAAAATTTGGGAAGGATAAAAAGAAAGGAAGAAACTCAGATGATCAGTCCACAGTGACGCGACATTTTGTCTTTTTTGTTTTAATAATCATCCGGTATACGATATCCATCGACCCGAACAATCTTTACATCTTTAGAAACCCACCAAGAGAAGTTGCAACTCTCTCTTATAGTAGAGGATTCAATTCTAGGATTAGGATTCGAACTCGGACACCTCTAGATATTGATTTTCAAACCCGAAACTAGTACTAGTATTTTTAATGAACAATTGTACCCTTCAAGCGTGCTAACGTTATCCTATCAATAAACATAACCCATTTCGCTCCCATCACTAAGCTCAGCCAACTACAGTAAGTTAAGCAGAAAAGAGTGAACAATTACCACATCACTCTGATAAATCATGCTTGTAAGGGCGGAGAGAGCACTAGAAAATGAACAAACTTTAACCCTGTAGCACCAGATGATTCATCCAGATCCAATTTGAGCGGTAATTTGAAGTTTTGAACAGTCATAGCTACTATTCGTCTTAGTATCATGGTTTCATATCAAAGGACCTTTCCATGAAGGACCCATTGGTGACAGGAGAAAAACATAGGTGAATCCCACCCCAATTCCTTCTAACCGAAGGAGAAACCAATGATTAAATTGCAGTGCTACAGCCACTTAAATCTATGGCCATGGATATTACTCTACAAATAAGTCATCTTGCCCCCAACGGAATTACAGAACAGCAGCAGCACCCGTCTTCAGATTGTCACAAGATAAGACAGGTGGAAGAACAATAACCAACATTCAGCAAATCCTTTTATTTTATAAATTTCTTAAAAGCAAGAATTTGCAGTGTATCTTTGACAAACGAACTCAGCGGTATAGGCTTTCAGATCTCAGATTCTCTGCAATCTCAGTTTCCCATCGATCTCCATTCTCAAGAAGCTTCTCCTTGTCGTAAAGGAGTTCCTGATGCATACAATAAATTAGTCAAGTCCAGTAATCCGAATTTATATTTCAAATTTGTGCTTTGAAACAACTAATACTTACCTCATGAGTTTCAGTTGCAAATTCAAAGTTAGGCCCCTCAACAATGGCATCAACAGGACAGGCTTCTTGGCAGAATCCACAGTAGATGCACTTTGTCATATCAATATCATATCTGTAGAAGTTATAATATAAACATGATTATGGGTGTCTGAGTATCTAATGTGACAAACACCCAAAGACTGACAAAAGTGTACCTAGTAGTTCGACGACTCCCATCTTCTCGCGCTTCAGCCTCGATAGTGATAGCTTGAGCAGGGCAAATCTATTAAGAAGCCCAATTAATTTGCTTCATTCATTAGCAGCAGCAGTCGTATATGTAGAATGCTAGCAGTATCATCCACAACAAATCTTAACTTAAACAAAGCAGTCCTATAGTTCCTAGTGAAAGCTGCTTTTAAATTGGACAGCTCCAAAGCAGTGCCAATTTGGGGTGCTACGGCAATTTTACCGGTTTCGGATGTCGATTTTGGTTTTGAATAGACAAGCTGATCACTAGATTTGGTTTTTGACGCATCAATTGTGCCAACTCCCTAAAGTGCCTCTTTATCAACATTTCATCATTGACTATACTGATATCATATATTTCACTATAAGTAAAAATTATATGCCATCATATATTTAATTAATTTAAACATTAGTTCCATTTGAAACTAACTTTTTCCGCTTACACCAAATGATACTCACCCCTAGTGCCAACAAAGGAAGTTTTAACGCTTACCATTCTTATCTTGGCTATTGGTTACCATAATTTCACGTCTCTTCCTTGCACTTCAAGCAGTAGCTTTTACTACTAAAGACATCATTTAGGTGACATCCATCACACGCTTCCACATGGTACCAGTTTCCCGGTAATGCACGTATTGTCAATTCAGGCAATCATTATACTACCCAAGGTCAGGACACTTGATCTAGAAAAGAGGGGGTAGCAGTTCCTATATTCTTTCAATTATTATCCAAAGGACATGCTTCAATACTACCTTCCTTGTTTTTATTTAGAAGAAACTTCAACTGCGTCCATCCAAAAAAGAACGGAAGCAGCAGGTAGTAGCTACCCCAGAATACAAGTAGTTGAACACCTCAACCGGAACAGTAGAAGAACAACGCAGATGTCCCAGTCGCAGTGAAAACAAAAACTGCAGCTGCAATTATAATCATAGCAATTTGACACTTACAGCTTCACAAAGTTTACATGCAATGCATCTTTCCTCTCCGGTAGGATAACGTCGAAGGGCGTGTTCTCCACGAAAACGAGGGCTTAAAGGTCCCTTCTCAAATGGATAGTTAATCTGCAATAAGCCGAGAGGTTAGCATGTAGAATGATACTACCTTAGATGAAATGGAGACCCAGTCAATGTGCAATTGAACATAAATAATGTTAAGGTAAAAAAGCAGTAGAAGCATGAGACTTACAGTCACTTTCTTTTCAAAGAAGTACTTGAGTGTCAGCATCAGACCTCGAACCATTTCAGTCAAAAACAGTGTATTTATGCTTCGCTCAAAGACTGCATTCAGTCAAAAAATCAAAAACACATAACACATACAGCCACTGCCAGAGGAATCACAATGCTACGCATTATGCAAGGTGAGAGTTCTTTAGAATGATTTACCTGAATTCCAATCTTTGGATAGTTCCTTTGCTAGCTGTTCTCGTTCTTCATCATCTGCGATGATAGAAAAAGTAGTTAGTCATTAAATTTCTACTGAAAAACACCAAAAACTAAGTCATCAACACCCTAGAAGATGCAGGCTACAAATAATAAACCAATCACTATGAGTTGAGTAGTACTAACTACTTTGCCACCAGAGTAAATTACTGTTCGAGTGTTCAGCATCATTTAAAGCATTCTATTTAATTCACAACCTAAAGAACTGGTTACCACGTTGCCCAGCAATTATCAGAAACCCCAGGCAGTCTGCCCATTTAAAGTGATGTGCAATAGAGAAAATGGCGCAATCCCCAATCCCCATTAAATAAAATCCAATACAAAAGAATGCAACTGAGCTACCTCACTCAAAATGCATTCGCTGTTTGCAGCTATAGTGTGAATTTTTTTTATAGAAAAAAAGAAGATAACTTCCCCAAGTTTCATCCCATTCATCAGCTTTTTGGTGACAATGCATATATAGCAAAGTCCACGCTTTTAGGCGTACAACAAATGCCGTTAACCTTTATAGTATACGCCTCAGGTTTCCAGCGAATATTTGTACAAGTTAGAGCATGAGTCTAACCTTCTATATTAAATTAGGATTGCCCTGGAAAGATAAACCAGAATGCATGAAACTTGGTAATTCATCTCATAAAATTTTCTCACAATTTCTAACAGAAAATTTGATGTCACAGTAGACAAGATAACTCAGGGGCTCTTCACTTGCAACAATTTGCATGGTCCCATCCAGAATAAGTAACTACATACCATGTCATGATCTACTTTGGTCATACTTTCTCAGCCACAATAGAGATTGGATTGCGGACATTAACGCTATGCACAACATAGCAATCATGTGTAGACAGATTTAATATATTTCCCTCCATGGAAAAATGCTTCCCTTTCCTTTCAAAAAAATTTGCCTAGGAAGGTAATAATCTATACTATATTAAAAGCACGAAGCCTCTTAGCGAAATGTTGTTCGCCTTTTTTACCCTTTAAAAATAGATTTCACGTTGGACGAAATTGTAATTTTAAAATTACTTTTCTAATATTTAGGACTTTAAAACTAATTAAATTTTTAATTATTCAATATTTCCTTATTTAACTAGGTAGAAAGTCCTAATATTTAGGACTTTAAACTCAATATTAATCATTTCCTTATTTGAATTATTAATATATTACATCTTATTCCTTCTTAATTTCATAACATGGAATTAAGTGGTAGAACATCTACAATTTCGCTAGAAAATAAATATTTGTGTCGCAAGTAGTTGTTCAAAGTAGACAAGAAAAAGTTAGAAAGAAACACTTAATTTTCGGGAAATTATTCTTTCATCTCTTAATTATATATTTCGTAATATATTTGCCATCAACTCTTTTTTAAAAGTATAACATTGAACCGGAAAAAGGATTTCATACGATATTTTAATTTCTATAAAAAGGTCTGAAGTTTTTTTTGGTTGTGCATAAATAATTTAAATCTATATTTTGAGTTACGTGAAAAAAAAGTGTTCCACCTCAACCCCATTTTCCTTTCTTTGATGAATTCGGATGCAAAATTGGGATCCATGATTATATATTTGGATAGAGGAAAAAAACTTTTTCGAGAACAAAGAAATAGTATATTAATGGATTTTACTTTGCCATAGTGATTTTTTTTTTGTATGTAGAAAATAATTCATATATTTTATTCATTAAAGAATAGAACAATTTACATTCGCGAGAAATAAAAAAGACCTCTTATGTAATGATCATGTTTATGTCTTTTAGAATGGATTTAAATACTTATTGAGATGCGACTTTAAAAGCACGAAGACCTTTAATGAAATGTTGTTCGCCTTTTTTACCCTTTAAAATAATTTTCACATTGGACAAAATAGTAATTTAAGTTATTTTCCTAATATATAGAAATAATCATTTAATAATTTCCTAATATTTAGAAATAGTTTCCTAATGTTTAGGAGTTCAAAATCAACTAAAATTTTGATTATTAAAACTTTCCTTATTCAAATCACTATGTAACGACATTAAAATCAACTAATAAGTTTTACTTTATATAAATCAAACAATTAATTTTTTTTTTCTTACGTAGACAGAGAAATTAGAACATGAATATCTTATGAATTTGATAAGGAATTTCAAAGTTCTATTTATATACACTTTTTTCCAAGTTAAATATTTGAACAATTGTATGCACGTCAAGTTGTATAATGTTGAGTCCAACCTAAAGTCTAACATGTAAACAGTTACCTGTACTTCTAACACAAGCTAAAGTTGGTGGCCTCCGACCAAATCATCAGTATCTATGCGCTCGTTATCCGGTACTCGAATTCGTAAAGTTCACATCTTTTATTTATTTATTTATTTATCTTTGTTTGTTTTGTATCTTTCGTTCTCCTTTGTTATGATCTAAAAGTTAATTTTTCTTCTATGTGGAACTCTTGTCTATATTTCATATAGAACCTTTGGGACTAAAAAGTATTGATATATGAAGACGTATTGAATACAGAACCAAATTGCTGGTTGATTTTCTATTAGTTATTGTCTATTAAATTCATTAATGTTTACTATAAGTTCTGCAGAGTATTTGGAGCACTAGAGTGAAGATGGTATGGATATCTTCTTTCTTTTTTCTCTCTTAATGGCTATGAATTATATTTTGTATTTTCTTATTTTTGTATTGAATATGGAATATCTAATTCTATGTATTTTATGTATGCAATCTGAGGAAAGTTTGAAAAGACAACCCTAATTATTTAATTTTCTTCCCAAATGTCCTATATCATACTAAATTCTGAAGGAACCCGTGATTGTTCGCAAAATCTGTATTGAACTTGAAAATTCCCTTAGTACACCAATTTTAATTCATCTAAATTTGTTGTTATAAATGAAGTTCATACTGAAACAATATAATGTGTCATATCACAATTTATCTATGTTCATTATGTCAATCGTTTTATTTGAAACTTAATCATATTTTATCTTGGGTGAAATAGACAAAGTCTTACTAAAAATTTTAGTTGTGTTTTTCTCAGCTTGCTACCAATTTTTGTCATTTTATAATACCGTATATTTTTAGAGATGTGTTGGAAATATAAAACTTAAACTATTACACATGTATCTCATATATTAGTTTTTAACTATATTTTTTGTATACAACACGCAGTATCAGACGATTTTGTATGTGCGAGTATTAGACTATAGGATGTTTTGTACATGTGCAGTGACTAATGAAAAATGAAGAGGATATTAAAAAATGAGCAAAATGCCTGTATTTATTGAACATAACATGTACCGAACTTAAAATCAAATTATCGAAGTACTAACGAAAGGAAACTTAACATTAAGTCCAAACAACATAGATTTATAGAAAAAAATATATTATTATTACAATCTTATAATTGATTTTTTATATCAAATTATTTTGCTAATTAATCCCATAAGAAAAAAGACAACTAGATTCAATATTTGGAGGCAAACTTGAAGTCACAATAAGCATATGAGGTATGTGGGAAAGAATTATTCCTCTATTAAGCCAACTAAATCGAATCGATATTCATTATTTCAAGAATTATATTTATATATATATATATATATATATATATATATATATATNATATATATATATATATATATATATATATATATATATATATATATATATATATAAAACTGGTTGACGCGATGTACACGTGCAACGCACGTATGCTAAAACTAGTCATTTTAAATATCACATAAGGTCCTATCGGTCTAATCTAGTCTTGTTTAACTCTAAAATTCAAATATGTCCCACGTTGCCAACAAATTCTACACAACTCATTTTCTACTACTCCCTTGGCAATTGAGCTCATCTAAGTGGACAACCCAGTAGGAAAGAAAGAAGTATCGCAAACCACAGTGCTTAAAATTCATATCCCCACTAAAGATCATTAGTAGTGAACTACAACCTTACTCTAAAGCTAAGCCATTCCCAAACACGCCTCATATGCTAACAGACACATAGAGAAAGGGGATGATAGATCTAGAATGGATTAGGAGAGCAGAGTACAAACCTTTGTCAGTTGAAAACGAATGCTTGGTAGCAAATGTTCGAGTACCAAGCAGAGTTCTGTTACATGCATTAGTCCCTTGCCATGCTTGTCCTGCCAAAACCTATAGTCCCCATAGAAAGAGTAAGGTGTCAAACCATTCTCTTACACCATAAGACATAGAAATGCACAAATACCTGCACATTTAGTGTGTGCATGTAACCACGTGTATGCACAAAGTAGTCCAGTAACTGCTGCCTCTCTCACCTCCCGGCAAATTTCTCAACAAACAGCATGCATTTGTACATAATATCTTTGAAAAAAATTAAAAGAATGAAGGAAATGCTTTTATTTCACACACACCCACCAACAGCCCAACAGTGGACCTTTGCCACTTTGATTCTCATGTAAGTCAATCCTCAACCTTATAATTGGAGGTGGAGGTACTTACCACCAGGCTATCCGTCATTTGTCAAAAACCAAAGACATGTATAAGAGAACACAGCCACAGTGTTAACTAAAGGACCCAGGGCTTTGATCCAGTAGTAATAGCAGAACACATGATATGACGATGAGGTGCACGTAATAGGTTTGAACCCTGCTGCGGCAGACAAAAGCTTGGTATTTAAGTGGAGAAGGATAGAGAGAGGGACAGACCCATTATCCATCGAGTTTTGAATCCTGCCCCACTGGCTCTCGGGGATTTCTATGTTATCAGGAGAAAAAATGTTAGCTAGGGGAAACCTGAATGGTAATCCATCACTCACCATCTCCGTTGCTTCTACAAACATCCATTTCTACCTATTATACCATAATCAAAAAGCACCGCAACACATCAAATAATTAAAGCATACACTGATTATTAAATACGATGTCGTTTACATTACCTTCTCTTGAGGATAACGTAAGGGTAAATCGGATGCTGAAGAAAGCTATAACTGATGAAATTGACTATCACGAAGGTTGAAATTGATGTCAAATGCAAGATTAGGGTTCGTAGGAGCATTCTTACAAAAATTGATGACACATAAATGGCAGACGAGTATAAATTAAATGAGCAAATATAAGGAGACTTACAAGCTGACGAGAGCGAAGAGCAGAGAGAGATTTCCGAGCTAATATGGCGGCCATTGGATTTGATAAGAGTTTCCTCCCTTCAAAAGCAGCGAGCGATTAGCAGCAACTAAAATGGCCCCGGTTTACAGTTAATAGTCGATTGGGTCACCGGCTTATGAGACCGTCACAGATCCTAAGACGGTGCGCTTCGTTTCTTTTTTGCTCTTTTTACGATTCAGTACAACATTAGTGACGCCGGCTCAATTTTTACCCTGGTTTAAAAACAACGTTGAGGGATCCGACCCGGCATGCTTATTAACTTAGGGGTCGTTATTTTAAAACAAATTATGCAGAAATTAATAATATAAATATTAGTAATGGGTAAATTGTAATGTAGGACTCGTATAATGTATGCATTATTTCTTGTTTAGATTTTTAGTTTGATATATTACATATTAGTATACTGTATAATCTAAAATACTTGTTTAGTTTTTAAGCAAAATAAATAATTTCTTACTATTATGACTGATTTATATATTACTAATCCGCATTCTTATTTCACAATATAAGCTTTTTAGACAAATAATTGATATTTGTTAGAGGTGATAACATAGGCATTTATATTTTGTTTTTAAGTGTCGCCTAAGTCTTCTTTTTTTCTTTTCTAATTCTACAACAACAATATACCCAGTATTATTCCACACTGTGGGGTCTGGGGAGGGTAGTGTGTACGCATACCTTACCCCTATCTTGTGAGGATAAAGAGGTTGTTTCCATTGGACCCTCGGCTCAGGAAAGTATAAGCACCAGATTAATAAGAATATAGACAAGAAGGAACATCACCAAAAGCCATATAAAAGTAGAATAAAGACAACAAGATAGTAAGATGATCAACAATGAAAGGAAATAACGGTTAGTCATAAAAACCTACTACCAATAAAAAGCGAGATTGTCTGTCAATACTACTGTTATGAACACTATAGACTACCTACTCTACTACCCAATCCTCGACCTTCATACCTTCCTATCAAGGATCATGTCCTCGGTTCGTTGGCCCTCCAATGTCAACCTCTCACACCTTCTCACTGGAGCGTCTGTGCTCCTCCTCCTCACATGACCATATCACCTAAGCCGCGCTTCCCGCATCTTGTCCTCAATAGGGGGCTACACCCACCTTGTCACGAATAACCTCATTACTAATTCTATCTAACTTGGTGTGCCCGCGCATCCATCTAACATCCTCATCTCTGCTACCTTCATCTTATGGATATGAGCGATCTTGACTGGTCAACACTCATCCCCATACAATATCGTCGGTCTGACCACCACTTTGTAGAACTTACCTTTTAAGTTTCAGCGGCACCTTCTTGTCACACAAAACACCGGAAGCGAGTCTTCATTTCATTCATCCCACCCCAAATATGATGTGTGACATCTTCATCAATCTCCCCATCCCCCTGAATAGTAGACCGAAGTTACTTCAAACTTTCTCTCATAGGGATGACTTGCGAGTCCAGCCTCTACTCCCCTTCCCCTCACTGAGTCTCACCACTGAACTTACGTTACAAGTATTCTATCTTGGTCCTGCTCAACTTGAAATCTTTGGACTCCAGGGTCTGCCTCCATATCTCTAACTGCGCGTTCACACCGCCTCACGTCTCGTCAATCAGTACAATATCATCTGCAAATAACATGCACCACGGTACCTCCCTTGGATGTGGCGCGTCAGTACGTCCATCGCCTGGGCAACCAAAAAAGGGCCAAGTGCCGACCCCTGATGTAACCCCGTCATAACCGGAAAATGGTATGAGTCCCCACTCACCGTCCTCGCTCGGGTCTTTGCTCCATCATACATGTCCTTAATCACCCTAACGTAGACAACATGTACACCTCTAGCCTCCAAACATCACAATAAAACCTCTCTCATAACTTTATCATACGCCTTTTCTAAATCGATAAATGTCATATGCAAGACTTTCTTCCTTTCCCTATACTGCTCCATCAATCTCCTAACAAGGTGGGTGGCTTCTGTATTCCAATGCCCCGGCATAAACCCGAACTGGTTCTCGAAAATAGACACACCCCTCATCACCCTTAGCTTTACCACTTTCTCTAGACTTTCATAATATGGCCAAGCAGCTTGATACCCCGATAGTTATTGTAATTTTGGATATCCCTCTTGTTTTTTTATACAGGAACCATCTTGCTCCACCTCCGCTCTTAGTCATCTTCTTCGTTCTAAAAAGGACATTACATAACCTAGTAAGCCACTTCAAGCCTGCCTTGCCCGCACTCTTCCAAAACTCCATCGGGATTTCATCCAGTCCGGTCGCTTTGCCTATGCTCATCTTACGCATATCCCCCTCTACTTCATCAACTCTAATCCACCTACAATACCCAAAGTCACAACAGCTCCCAGAGAGTTCCAAATCGCCCAGTACAATGCTCCTGTCCCCCTTCTCGTTAATGAGACTATGGAAGTAGGTCTGCCATCTCTGACGGATAAGCCCCTCATCCAGCAAAACTCAACCTTCTTCGTCCTTGATGCACTTCACTTGGTCCAGTCACGATCCTTCCTTTCTCGCGCCTTGACTAACTTGAACAACCTCTTATCCCCACCTCGGCCCTCAAGTTCCTCATACAAACGACTAAAAACTACAATGGTCGTCGTAACTGCTAGCTTTGCCTCTTTCTTAGCCAACAATTTTTTTTTGTCTAATTCTATTTCCCATAAAATAATACTTAAATTCTCACATAATTATGGATCTATCATTTATGAGAAAAATGAAAAGGAATTGTATTAATTAATGTAATTTTATGTGGTGATTATATCTCCTCAAATTTCTTCCAAAAAATTGTAATAAACTAATATTGATTTATATGCGGAGATTATATTTTGTAAAATTCAAACCAAACATATCTGTATGGGTCAAAATCTAACCACAAGCAGATTACCATTAAGGGGAACAGTAAGGGGTCGACCAAGCCATGGACGTACTCGCAAGACGTAATGGCGACGAGCGTCTCGGCCACGCCGAGATCGAGCCATCGAGAAGGCTTGCACGGCATAATATATGCGGTCGTGCTTGAGCAAGTAAAGAGAAAGATAGTCGAGAAGGCGTATGCAGGTTAAAGACTGTTGGATAAAGGGGAAGGTGGGTAGTATATATATGAAGGATAAAGCAGAAAGAAGAGAGGATCCCAGAAGAGAAAAAGAAACAGAAGACTTGGAGGAGACCTATAAGTAACAAAGCAAGAAGTCTAGATTACGGGTTACAAACCTTTGTAAACATCATTGTTGAGTCAATAAAGCTAGATCTCATAGTTATCAACGAGATCCCCTCTTTATCTTCTTTGCTTTACAAATACAGAACAATATATCAAAGATGTAAGCTTATCATTTACGTTTGATGCCTTTTAATCATTATGAGAAACTTTACATAAACTCAGCCTCATTTGATTCTAGTATCCAATATGCTTAGATCTAAAGTTGATTATGTTTGGCTAGGATTTACTCTTCATCTCATCACTAACTGATTTAACCGAAAGGTTCAACACTTTTTGGTCAAACAATTTGGCGCCATCCGTGGGAAATTTCTTAGCCAGATTCTTTAGTTTCCTTTAGATCTAGAACCAGCCAAGTATTACGTCCAGGTTGTTACAATCTCACCACCTCGGTAACAACGCCAACTCAAAAAGAATGGTAGATAAGTTTTTGAGATAATTGTACCAATCTAGGTCAGATCCCTACACAAAATAGAAATCATGACCGATGTCTATACGAGACCCATGCCTCACCTGTAACGACGGGTTTGGCAGGTCATATGCATATTTGAAGTAGAACCACGGTCACTGTGCGCTTGGCATGACCGCAATCTCATGCGATGTATTCACCTTGTATACCGACCAGTACTACCACTCCTTGGGAAGGGATGATAGCCTACCGTGTGACCATTTGAAATAGCAGGCACACCCTACCTTATTTTCGTATCACGCAATAGAAATAACCCAACGGGTTACAATTTCGACCTCGCTCGAATTAACATCCTTAAGGCCATCGGCCATCGCCATATGAAAGGAAGGTTCGACCTCGCTCGAATTTATAACGGGTTATAATTTCGACCTTGCTCGAAATAACACCCCTACGGCCATCGGCCTTCGCCAAAATAGAAGTTCGACTTCTCTCGAATTCACAACGGGTTACAATTTTGACCTCGCTCGAATTAACACCCTTACGACCATCTGCCATCGCCATATGAAAGGAAGGTTCGACCTTGCTCGAATTCATAACGGGTTATAATCTCGACCTTGCTCAAAATAACGCCTCTACGGCCATCGGCCTTCACCAAAAGAGAAGTTCAACTTCGTTCGAATTCATAACGGGTTATAATCTCGACCTTGCTCGAAATAACGCCTCTACGGCCATCGGCCTTCGCCAAAAGAGAAGTTCGACTTCGCTCGAATTCACAACGGGTTATAATTTCGACCAAGCTCGAAATAACACCCTTACGGCCATCAACCATCGCCATATGAAAGGAAGGTTCGACCTCGCTCGAATTCATAACGGGTTATAATATCGACCTTGCTCGAAATAACACCCTTACGACCATCGGCCATCGCCATATAAAAGGAAGGTTCAACCTCACTCGAATTCATAACGGGTTATAATTTTAACCTTGCTCGAAATAACACCCTACGGCCATTGGCCTTCGCCAAAAGAGAAGTTCGACTTCTCTCGAATTTACAACTGGTTATAATTTCGACCTCGCTCGAATTAACACCCTTACGCCTATCGGTCACCGCCGGGTAAAAGTAAAAATTCGCCCACCCGAATCAACATATCGAATTTCGACCCCGTTTGAATATATAATCAGAAATCGACTCCGCCCAAGATGGCGACTCCAAGTTCGACCACGCACGAGCATATAAGTCAAACTCCCGCCCAATTTGGCAACTCCAAGTTCGACCACGCACGAGCATATAAGTCAAACTTCCGCCCAAGTTGGCAACTCCAAGTTCGACCACGCACGAGCATATAAGTCAAACTTCCGCCCAAGTTGGCAACTCCAAGTTCGACCTCGGTCGAATACATACGGAAAAATTGACTTCGCCTCAATTGGTAAGTCGGAATTCAATCCCGCTCGAGTATACAAGTCAAAACTGACTTCGCCCAAGATGGCGAATTTAAATTCAACCTCGTCTGAATTAAGGTTGGTTCCACCTGAGTCGGCAAATCAGAAGTCAACTTCGC